ACGGCTGAAAGGGCGAGCATGTTTGGTGTTACGGGGATTCGAACCCGCGACCAGCAGATTGCGAGTCGAGCGCCCTAACTACCTGGCCATGCTGGGCCAAAAAAAAAAAAAGACTTGTCAAAGTTTTTTAAAAAGGTCTAACGTTAGGTTGCAGATTAACATTATAATGTTATTCATTGATAGCATTAGGTACGGCAAAGTTTAGCTCTAACTGAACTAAAGCAAAAAACGTACACAATTTACAGGGTTAATTTATCTCTTTATCGAATATAGGCCGTATCAAATAAAGGCTTAACTAATGTTAGGCCTGAGACATATGGATTTCGGTGTCTGCGATTATAATTATTTTATATTATTTGTATTGTGCTATTCTAGAAACCCTCTATTTAAAGTACTGTTGCAATAAAGATACTAATTTGACCGCAAGTGTATTGCAGGTCTCTGCTAGTATACCTTATTGTGTACTTTGCATCTTTGTTGTACATGGTCAGTTTTAATGAAATATTTAACTTTAACAGGCTTTTATAACACGCAATAACTTTTTATTTGACCCTTTTATCACCCCCCCCCCCCCCCTGAAGGTTCCGATACCCGTGGTGGGTACAGCACATATAGCTCATTGTGTAGATTTGCTTTTAACAGCAAACAAAAGGATATCATGAAAGAGTTAGCGGTTAAATAATATTCTATAGTACGTGATGAAAAATATTGTTAAATGTATCTTGATTTGTAATCTCATCCATAAAACTGATGTAAGAATTCGTACTAAAGGGTCAAATTCCAAAGTTTAATGCATGCCACTTTGAAAAATATGTATCACTCGGTTATAAAGTCATTAAGTTAAAAATAAAACGTTAAATAAAATATCAGGACCGTTAGTGACATTGTAGGTTTACTTCCGACACAAATCTACATAGAACGTCTGTTTAGTGTCGCTACAGATTTACATAGAACGTCTGTTTATTGTCCCCATAAACTTGCATATTAGGTCGCAAAAAATATCGGTTTACTTCCATAACAAACCTACATAAAATCACGGTTTATTTTCGTCACAAACTTACATAGTAGGCCAGTTTATTGTCGTCTCAGACTTACATAGAAGGTCGGTTTACTATCGTCACAAACTTACATAGTAGGCCAGTTTATTGTCGTCTCAGACTTACATAGAAGGTCGGTTTATTTTCGTCACAAACTTACATAGTAGGCCAGTTTATTGTCGTCTCAGACTTACATAGAAGGTCGGTTTACTACCGTCACAAACTTACATAAAAGGTCAGTTTATTTTCGTCACAAGCTTACATAGAAGGTCGGTTTACTATCGTCACAAACTTACATAGTAGGCCAGTTTATTGTCGTCTCAGACTTACATAGAAGGTCGGTTTATTTTCAGTCACAAACTTACATAAACGGTCGTTTTATTTTCGTCACAAACTTACATAAAAGGTAGGTTTATTTTCGTCACAAACTTACATAAAAAGTAGGTTTATTTTCGTCACAAACTTACATAGAAGGTCAGATGGGTGTATGTGAAGGACACTGTCTATAACACTGTGGCACCCTACATGACAACGTTGCAGTTTTTAAACACTAGTTTAGATGGGGATATGTGAAGAACACAGTCTATAAAACTAAGGCGCCCTACATGGCCATTAACCACATACAAGCCTGAGGTGTACTAATGGCACTACTAGCCATGTATTAACGGCACCACCGTGTCAGTTACTAACCTGAAGTGTTAGCTTACATTATATTGCAAACTGAAATTATTTTTCTTATGTAGTTCTCATTTTATTTACTTAACTACATTATTTATGGGCACCCTGTTTCACTATCACAAGACAGATATAACGGACACCCTGTTTCACTATCACAAGACAGATATAACGTATATGAACTCCATATTTGTCTTTCAGGCTTGGATCCCGCTGCACCATTGTTTGTACATAATTTATGGACACCCTGTTTCACTATCACAAGACAGATATAGCGTATATGAACTCCATATTTGTCTTTCAGGCTTGGATCCCGCTGCACCATTGTTTGAAATCTATGATCCAGCGGTTCGTTTGGATCCATCTGATGCCCAGTTCGTTGACGTCATTCACACCAACGGAGAGAGTATGATTCGAGGAGGATTTGGGGTTTATGAATCAATGGGGCACGTAGACTTTTTCCCGAATGGGGGAAAATTTCAAAAAGGATGCAGCAATGTTTTCGTCGGCGCTCTATCCGACCTTTTATGTAAGTTTGTGACGAAAATAAACCAAACTAGTGTTTAAAAACTGCAACGTTGTCATGTAGGATGCCACAGTGTTATAGACGGTGTCCTTCACATACTCCCATTTAAACTAGTGTTTAAAAACTGCAACGTTGTCATGTAGGATGCCACAGTGTTATAGACAGTGTCCTTCACATACCCCCATCTAAACTAGTGTTTAAAAACTGCAACGTTGTCATGTAGGGTGCCACAGTGTTATAGACAGTGTCCTTCACATACCCCCATCTAAACTAGTGTTTAAAAACTGCAACGTTGTCATGTAGGGTGCCACGGTGTTATAGACAGCGTCCTTCACATACCCCCATCTAAGCTAGTGTTTAAAAACTGCAACGTTGTCATGTAGGGTTCCTTACTCTTATAGACAGTGTCCTTCACATACCCCATCTAAGCTAGTGTTTAAAAACTGCAACGTTGTCATGTAGGGTGCCACAGTGTTATAGACAGTGTCCTTCACATACCCCCATCTAAACTAGTGTCTAAAAACTGCAACGTTGTCATGTAGGGTGCCACAGTGTTAAAGACAGTGTCATTCACATACTCCCATTTAAACTAGTGTTTAAAAACTGCAACGTTGTCATGTAGGATGCCACAGTGTTATAGACGGTGTCCTTCACATACTCCCATTTAAACTAGTGTTTAAAAACTGCAACGTTGTCATGTAGGGTGCCACAGTGTTATAGACAGTGTCCTTCACATACTCCCATCTAAACTAGTGTTTAAAAACTGCAACGTTGTCATGTAGGGTGCCACAGTGTT